CTCCTCTCTCCCCTCCCTCCCCTCCCTCTCCTCCCTCTCCTCCCTCTCCTCTCCTCCTCTCTCCCCTCCCTCTCCTCTCCTCTCCTCTCCTCCTCTCTCCCCTCCCTCCCCTCCCTCTCCTCCCTCTCCTCTCCTCTCCTCTCCTCTCCTCCTCTCTCCCCTCCCTCTCCTCTCCTCTCCTCTCCTCCTCTCTCCCCTCCCTCTCCTCTCCTCTTCTCTCCCCTCCCTCTCCTCTCCTCCTCTCTCCCCTCCCTCTCCTCTCCTCCTCTCTCCCCTCCCTCTCCTCTCCTCCTCTCTCCCCTCCCTCTCCTCTCCTCCTCTCTCCCCTCCCTCTCCTCTCCTCCTCTCTCCCCTCCCTCTCCTCCCTCTCCTCCCTCTCCTCTCCTCCTCTCTCCCCTCCCTCTCCTCTCCTCTCTCCCCTCTCTCTCCTCTCCTCCTCTATCCCCTCCCTCTCCTCTCCTCCTCTCTCCCCTCTCTCCCCTCCCTCTCCTCCCTCTCCTCCCTCTCCTCTCCTCCTCTCTCCCCTCCCTCTCCTCTCCTCTTCTCTCCCCTCCCTCTCCTCTCCTCCTCTCTCCCCTCCCTCTCCTCCCTCTCCTCCCTCTCCTCCCTCTCCTCTCCTCCTCTCTCCCCTCCCTCTCCTCTCCTCCTCTCTCCCCTCCCTCTCCTCTCCTCCTCTCTCCCCTCCCTCTCCTCTCCTCCTCTCTCCCCTCCCTCTCCTCTCCTCCTCTCTCCCCTCCCTCTCCTCTCCTCCTCTCTCCCCTCCCTCTCCTCTCCTCCTCTCTCCCCTCCCTCTCCTCTCCTCCTCTCTCCCCTCCCTCTCCTCTCCTCCTCTCTCCCCTCTCTCTCCTCTCTCTCCTCTCCTCCACCCCTCTCCCCTCTCTCTCCTCTCCTCCACCCCTCTCCCCTCTCTCTCCTCTCCTCTCCTCCTCTCCTCCTCTTTCCCCTCCCTCTCCTCTCCTCTTCTCTCCCTTCCCTCTCCTCTCCTCTTCTCTCCCTTCCCTCTCCTCTCCTCCTCTCTCCCCTCCCTCTCCTCTCCTCCTCTCTCCCCTCCCTCTCCTCTCCTCCTCCTCTCTCCCCTCCCTCTCCTCTCCTCCTCCTCTCTCCCCTCCCTCTCCTCTCCTCCTCCTCTCTCCCCTCCCTCTCCTCCTCTCTCCCCTCCCTCTCCTCTCCTCTCCTCCTCTCTCCCCTCCCTCTCCTCTCCTCTCTCCCTCTGGTTTGCACCATATGAATCAAAATTCCTCCCTTTTTAAGTGTACCAGATTTTAGTATAGGTCTATTGGATTATGTCTTTTCGTATGGGTTAATTTTCATTATTCATTGCTCTATCACAATTATAGAACGAGGCAGAACAGAATTAACAGATCTTTCAAATGCTGGTTCATCTTTTGTTGGGCAATTTACTTTACATTTGCCCTTACAGGTCTCCACGGAGGAAGGCGAACGAAAAGCAAAGGAGCTTAATGTTATGTTCATCGAGACTAGTGCGAAAGCAGGATACAACGTGAAGCAGGTAAGATGGAATACATTTTATTGGCTGTATTCTGGGACTCTAGTGCTATGAGGAATAGAAGTAGGACAAGTAGAGGCAGTTATTTTCACGTCTGTTGTATGAGTTATCATAGGTAAGGTTGAATACAGTCAGTCCTGGTTTTGATTTGGGATTTCTTGTTTGTCTCGGTCACTTTTGTGTAATTTTATGCATTGCTAATCTGAATGGAATCTTCAAGAGTTATTTGTGAAAATCACCTTTAGAGATTTAATTTCTGTTCCTGCAGTATACTCTCCTTTTCAAAATAATATATTTTTAGATAAAAAGAAAAGTTAACTATAACGTCTCCCTTTATGTCTCTAAATATAGTAAATTTTTAAGCGTAATCAATACATTAGTCATATATAGGACTTGCCCCTAAACACACATCTACCCCGCAGCTGTTCCGGCGAGTCGCTGCTGCTCTGCCAGGCATGGAGCCCACCGACAACAAGAAGGTTGACAGTATCCTTTTTCTGGGATCATTATTTACATATTTAACCTCTAGCATTTACATTCCATCAAGCCTGTCCTTATCCTCAGCCTTAACACCCACGTGATATGGCATTTTGCGTTTTCTAGCCCCACCCCAAAGTCAGCCAGTTTCACCCATATCGAACTCGCAAGGCCCTTTCCATAGCACAAAAAAAAAGCTTGCAAAATTTACCCTCTAGTGATTGACTATGATCTGAATGATTTTTCTGAATAATGATGGGCAGACGAAACCCTAGGTTCTGTATGCTCTTCTGCATCAAGATTTGCTAGTGATGAATAGAGTTTAGATGAAGCATGTTAATAAGAAATTATTTTATTCATTTTTATAGTGATTCTTATACTACAAGAGGGATGGATATATATATATATATATATATATATATATATATATATATATATATATATATATATATATATATATATATATATATATATAAACCTTCCATACCTATTGAAACATACCTTTTGATAATATCA